CTTAACCCAGATTTATGTAAATTGAATTAAACAAAAACAGTTTATATATTATTTTTTTCATTTTAGTTGATGAATGAATACACATATCCGTTTTTTACGTCAAATTATGCAGCTTGACCCTTTCTTTGTTTTGGTCTAATTGTTCTGGATGCTTAAGATAGTTGTCTTATTGGCAAGTGCAGTATAACATTGTCATTTATTTACTTGATGTTGCAGAATTATTTGTAAATTGAAGTTGAATGTGGTCTCCATCATAAAACCACCCTATAAATCTCAAGGTTTTGGGGTATATCTTAAATCTGGGAACTACTTTTTATTTTTATTAAAAAGTAGATCTGGCAAATAGGTGAAAGGACTGGCAAAACTTTCTTACAGCACCTAAATTTCACATATATTACATAAAAATCTAAACACTTAGCCACACCTACCCCAACTATAAACTGTAGGGTGATCATATGGGATCTAGAAAGGCAATTAGTTACTGTCCAACTAGTGACACCAGCTGCAGTTTACATAAGTTTTGAGAAAATACAAAACTGACAGAACGTTTAAAACGGGACACAAATTAAAAGTACAATTGCTCGTCAGTGAATAAACCAAATAAAACAGCTAAGCACATATACAAAGAAAGAAATACATTTAAGATGGAAACACATCTGGGGTTGATATAATGTGATTATAACATGCCTAAATATTCAATATTGTGTTGATGAAAAAACCCAATACATTAAGGAGCTTGGTGGTGAAAAACCCAATTTGATATTTGCTTGAGGGGTGAATTGGAATTGATAATGCAATTAAAAAACTTTTATCACCAACTTACATAAAAAAATGGTGGGTAAAAACCCCAATTTGTGAATTCTTATCTGGAGCTCTGGATCTATATAAAGAAAACCTGATCATCTGTTTATCGTTCTATTACTGGCTTTTTCACCTCCCCAACTTGGCCTAAGACAGTTTTTACAGACGAAAGCAAGCTTGATAACTACTCCTCACACACATGTATAGATTATCGGCTTTTCTACACGAGTCATGAATATCGTAAAATGTTAGCCAGTGAGCAGGCCCGCAATGAACCTTTTTAGCGAGTGAGCCCAGCTAATGAGCTAAAATGAATCAACTTGTGTATTCAGTCACAGTTGGTGATATTTTAAGGTATCTACACAAAGAAAACCTGCTTATATAAATCTCAGTGGCGGATCCACAACTTTTCATAAAAGGGGGTGGCCGCTGACTGACCTAAGGGTTGCCCACTCCCGTCATGCTTCCCCAGTGGCGGATCCGGGGGAGGGTTCCGAGGGTTGGAACCCCCCTTTTTTTGGACGATCAATGCATTTGAATGGGGACACATAGATGGAACACCCCCCCCCCACCCTTTGTCCTGAGTTGGGAACCCCCCTTTTATAAAATGGCTGGATCCGCCCCTGCTTCCCTATAATATCAACAAAATTTTCCCCACCCCCTGGATCCGTCTATGTAACTGTTTATCGGTCTGCGTAATACTGGCTTTTTCACCTCCCTTACTTGGCCCTATAGACAGTTGCTTATCTGTTTATCGTTCTGTCCGATGCAGGACGTGACGGCCATACTGCCTATAGATTGAAATAAACAATTAATTTCCCCATAGGCGACAATGATAGCCTTTTTCGAGATACAGACTTTAGAAAGTTGATTTTTTTAACGAAACCTTGCTAGAATTAAAGAAAAATTATTAGGACAGTATTTTTTGGTCCAAAAAATATAGGTTCGCGTTGCTTTTCTTAGCGTAATTTGTACTTATCTCCCATGCCTATCAATTTTGCACTTAAAAATACGTGTCTCATCCTAGCGTTTAAAAGACATCTCAGTTCCGTTAGGGCTAAGGAAAATAATTTATTTGGCCTTTGGTATAATGCAGAATGCACGAAGTCTCTAATAACAAAAAACAACGGGCGCACATTTCAACCAATCAGGATTAGCTATACTCTTAATTCTGAATACCATGTTATGCTCATAAAATGGCTGCGCCCATAAAATCTAATGGTGTATTGTAACCATGACGTCCATAGGATGAAACTGCCATACCCCGAAAAGATGAAACGGCCATATGACAAAAACGGCCATACTTTGTGAAGACGTATCGTCCATGTTTTTTTTTTTTTTTTTATATAGATGTTATTTATGAATTATGTTGATACTTATAGATGGTTATTATAACTTTTAGATAAACTTTACTGTTTTTATATTATTTATCATGTTTAATTTTGTTATATCATTTGTTTAATCATTATATATATATCGTAAATGAATGTGTTTAATTTAATAAAATATTAAATATCATATTGTTTTCTAAATGGTTTTTTGATATCTTGCGTATAACAAACAGAACAAAATGAACAAATATGAATGACTATATCCGAATGGGAGACTAATTTCTGTCAAAATTAAAACAATAAGTTCAGTTTTGAAATATAAAACAAGGTATAATCAAGTAATGATTAAGTTTGAAATTTAAGAAGATTGTTGATTGCTTATTATTACTTCTTTGATGAACACAAGTATTAATTATGCTTTTGTCAAGAAATTGTAATGGAAATACAATTCAAGATCACTATAAAAACACAACACCCAAGCTGAGTGCAAGCGGAGTGCAAACATACATTTGGTAGTGAAATTCTTGTAAAAATACAAGCTGTTTGAGCAGTCTTTTTGATGTACCGACCTTGCTTTATAAAAGTAACCAGAAATGTCGGTGGCACTCATTTGGAAAATTGCTGTTCATCATGTCGTACCCTTGTGTGCTATGTGACCAGCAAGTCCGACCAAGACAACATGCTCTCCAATGTGAGGATTGTGATAAATGGCAACACAGGCTTTGCAATACAGGTATTTACAAATTTAATATTAATTTAGTTTTTCCTTTGAATCATATTTCGTACTTTCGGTCATACTTTAGATACATTTTTTTTTTTTACTTTAATTTTGGTTAAGACGCTTTCCTGATAAGAATTAAATCTATATTTAAGTGTTATTTGCATTACACATTTGTCCAATAAATGGACCATAGGTATCAATTAATAGATATAAAAAGAAGATGTGGTATGATTGCGGTATGATTCCAATTGAGACAACTCTCCATCAGAGACCAAATGATACAGAAATTAACAACTATAGGTCACCTTACTACGGCCTTAAACATTATTATCAGTGTATTAATATTACTTGACTGTAAAGAAATATATGTCATATTTTAATTTCTTGTTATTTCAGGTATATCAATTACTGATTACCGCCTGATGGTAAATGAAGAAGTCGACATTATTTTCCACTGTGCAGAATGTGTCCGCATACCACAAGATATGGAGGTTGAGGTACATATACGTTATTGTATTATTTCTTTAAATGTTGTGTGTTCGACAGAATTGTTTTAATTTCTTATCGTTCCTTTATTATTTTGAGAAGAACAATTGTATTCAACCTAAATTTTTCATTTTTTGTGGTTGACTATTATTCCGAATAAGTCCTGTTATGCAAAAGGTCTCAAACCGTTATTTATGATTATGTATGATGACCTATAAAAAAAAGACCGATCATAAATCATATTAATCCAATCATTGGGCGCGTGTCTCTGTTAAATACAAAGTATACACATTTCGGAGGTGTTAATCCTTTAATTAGTTTACGTGATTGCCAATTATCAAACAATGTTACAAATATTAATGTGAATTTATATATTTTGAATTATATTTTGACATATAATATCATATTATATTTGACGTTTTTTTTTATACTTTTTTTGTGCAAAAATACACAATTATATTTTGTTTCACGACTTTTATACATATGTTTTTCGTTTAGGCAGTATTAGAAGCACCACCATCACCAGCACCAGCATCACCCCCACCAGCACCAGCATCACCCCCACCAGCACCAGCTTCTCCACAACCAGCACCACCATCACCCCCACCAGCATCCCCACAACCACTTGACGATACGCTACCAGACCATTCATTTGATATCACACTTGAAGTAGCAGAAGAAAATCCAGTTGTTGAGAGGTATTTGGTTTAATTAATCATATTTTTTATTAGTCTCTTAATTTTTTATTACTATTTCAAATTAATTTAATGTAATAATTATTAATAAATTATTTTAAAATTAATAATGTTATTTTCAGGCAAAAGAAGTTTTTAATAATTTTAAGTCAAACTGGTGTATATTGTAAATTTTAAATATAAAGGTGTAAAAATATATTTATATGTATATGTTATATCTTAAAAGTCTCTCATAAATCTTTTTAAGATTGGTGCATACAATGCAATATTTTTAATGTTTTAAATTTATTTAAGTGAATCTCTTTTTATGTTTGTCTGTGGTGAGACTATAATAAAATATTGAATCTGTTAAAGCCATTAAGATAATATCTCTAATTTGTAACTAAGTTTTGTTAAAGTTACAAATGTAATTTTCATTATTTTCAGTGATATTAAAGATCCAGAGCTTTCAGACTCATTTGTAGACGACAGACCAGTAACCTTCGAGGTAGTGGAGAACGGTACGATGAAAAGAGCCAAGAAGCTAGTCAGCAGTGACGGGTTTTCGTATACAGTTAAGGTATAATTATAATAGATCTATCATATAAAGAAAATGTATTATATATGATGTGACTTAGAGACCAAGTGGGTCGGTTTATTTTTAAGTTATATATTTGTATTCTGTTAAACTGTTATTACACATGTCACAAATTATTGTATATATATATATATATATGTAATTTTTTTGGTTTATAGAAATAAGAATACATGGTATGATTGTCAATGAAACATTTCTCTAACAAAGATCAAATGTACTTCTTTACTTTTATAAACACGTCACAAAATATTTATATATATGTAAATATAGGAAGATGTGGTATGAGTGCCAATGAGACAACTCTCCATCCATATATTACAGTTATTTAAAAAAAAAAAATCCAACAAAATGGTATGAAAAAACAAAAAGTGGTATATTAGTGTAAAATTTCATTTATTATAAAATCTCTTCATCATATAATTTTAAAATGTATAAACTAATATGTGTCATTTAAATTTACAGCAGCCTGGTCAGCCATCAAGACCGTCTTTCCTACAGCCGAGATAAAGGGATGTTCATTCCACTGGTGCCAAGCAGTCATGCGGAAGGTTGCCAAGTTGGGGTTGAAGACCGCCTATGACTCCAAGAAGAGCGTCCACCTCTTCATCAGGAAGTTACTTGCTCTGCCATACCTGCCATCTGACCACATCAGACCAGCTTTTACAGAGATGCTTCAAACCACTGCAACAGCCTCACCACAGATCAAGCAGCTGATGACCTACCTTCAACGTACCTGGTTCAACAACACAGTCTGTACTGTTCAACAGTGGTCTGTCCATCGGCTCTCAGTGAGGACAAACAATGATGTAGAAGGTATTTTTATTTATTATTAATATTTTTTATAGTTAATAATAAAATAAAAATAAGAAGATGAGACAACAATTCCCGAAACTTCCAACCAGCAGCAATGAGAACCCATATGAATACCGCTTCATCATTTTTTTATTGCATTTTATAAAGTTATACTATGATCATATTTCAATCTTAAAATAAAATAACTTTACACATTAAAAATTTTTTAGTATCTATTGTGTTTAATTAGTTTAGGATGGTAAAGTTAAAGTTATACTATCATCATATTTGAGTTTTTATAACTATTAACATTAAAATTGTTTCGTTTTTATTCAAATTTTTAGTAATTATTGTGTTTATTTTAGGGTGGCATAGGCGTTTCAATGGCAAGGCTGCCCACAACCACCTCCATTTCTATAAGATTGTGCCAGCCTTCCTACAAGAAGCAAAGACCGTGTCCATCACACAGCAGCTTGTGAGTGAACAGCAACTCAGCCGATATCAACGAGACACATACAAGCAGCTTCAAGGCCGTCTAACTTCACTGTGGGACCAGTACGAGGAAGACAGTATCAGAACATCAGACTTCCTCCGTTCCGTGGGCCATCTGTATGCACCCCCTGTTCCACAGCCAGAGACCCTCCCAGAGTCCGACTCTGAAGATTCCGACATCGAGTCTGATTAAGTGTTAATTGTAGTGACTTGAAGAACTTATTGGTTGTGCTTATTATGTGTATAGTGCTTTGTTAAAATAGTAACTTTAATGAGTTCATGAAGTAAATGATCATAATATAGTATATTTTGGTATGTTTAGTGCTTTTGTTTCAGTTGTGACTTTTATAACTGAATGGTTATGTTGTGACTTTTATAACTGCACGTTTATGTATTTTAGTGCTTTATGATATAGGTTATATGTGTGAATGTGAATATAAATGTTTGAATATTGGGTGAAATGTGTATGCAGTGGAATAAATGAATGAGTGACATGAGCATATGAGAGAAAAAGTGTGAGATTGTTAATTTAAAAAATGTATATAAGATGAATGTTCAATGGCATATGTATATATGTATGTTCTTACATTTCGATGTGTTTGATTTTCTACATGTCTGAACGAAAAGAATAATATATATGAGTGTTTTGTGTATGAATGATGTATGATTTATATGTTTGTTGTATATTTGTTTATCTGTATGACTGAATGAATAAATAAAATATATTAAACAAAAATATTATCTTTTTGTTTCTTATACTAGAGTATATTGGTTTGATTGTCCATAATACAATTCTCCATCAACAAATGCACAAAAATGGGAACATTTAAATTGTCAACAAATAGTATTCAACACAATGAACAAACTTAAGCAAAAAGAACATTCAGTATGATAAAAATGAAACTGGCCATCTTTTATCATGTTATTAGGGTGCACATTCCTGTCGGATATTACGGGTAATTTGTTATGTTATTGGAAAGTTCTACAGTAGTCTCCGTCTTGGAAAGATGTTCAGCAAATGGAATGACTCTAAACTATAAGAAAGAAAAAAAATACAGAATTATTAAACTATGTACTGTCTGATGAACATGACAAATATAACTCGAACTTGATGAACTGCCTTCCTTAGAGTTAACCTTAACACTGAGTCCTGTTTTAAATTTCACCAAGACTGAGATTGAGAAGATTTTTATTGTTTAGAATAATATATTTTTTACAGATATAATAAAAAGATCTGTGACATGTGCGTGTATTTATATATCGTCATCGACAGCGACAGTCAACATTCCTACAGTTTAAACTTCATATAAAATAAGATGCCTTTATATCACATTACAATAAAAATGATTCTTCAGAAATTGTTTATAACTGATAATGAAGAAATAGTCAATATACTTACATAATATGGCCCCAACAAGTTGTAAACACGAGTGATGATGATCAAGCAAAGATAACTCTTACAAGAATAAATAAGATCTCTTGTACAGAAAAAAATACTACAAAATCATATTAATGTTATTATTATGAATAAATACTTATTTTATTATTATATTTTGTGCTATAACCTCAATAAAAAAAAATTTTTAAAGTGTGGACGATACGTCTCACAATGTGTGGCCGATATGTCCCATGGACGATGTGACGGTATGGCCGAAACATCCCATGGCCGTCATGGAAGTATGGCCGTCGCGTCTCGAAAGCGTTCTGTCACTGCCACTGGCTTTTTTTAGACTAGAGACTTCATGTGTACAAACCTGACGTCAAACTCGTGTACTATAAAAGAAGAGACAAATAATTTCACATTATATCCTGTAACATTACATCTAAAGATAATTATAATCCAAAGTAATTTATATTACGATATGTCAATGGACTAAATTCCCGCGCAAATGTCATCACTGGGATAGACCAAAACGAATTTTAGGTTTATGTATGGTCATGTATCATTCACATTCCGATCAATTTACTCAGTTAAATAAAATATATGTGTTAACTATTTTTATATTGGTTTTGAATTTAGTTAATCTATCAGAAAAAAGGATTTATTTCTCGCAGACAGCCTTCAATACTATACACCAACTCGACACTGAAGCTAAAAAAAACCCTAAAACATAATAGTATATGGAATCGTCCAAACGGATTACCTAATATTGATATAGGTGAAATATGTAGATTCAGAATTGTGTACACAGAAATAAGATCAGAAATAAAGCCCTATGTAAGGTGAAAACAATAACAGATCTGTATAAAATCATTGTTTATTAAATTTGCTTGCATAAGAACCATGAAGTTAAAATTTATAACGATTACGTTTATCCTGTCAACCCCTTTTCTTCATTGCATCAAGGCATCCGTTGCTTTACACCGAGCAGCAATTCAACCAATCGGGGAATGTTAAGTTGGGACAAACCTCTATTTTTGGAAGCGTGATATTTACATCGAGGCTTGCGTTGCTTTACACCGAGGCCACAGTAGTTCGACCAATCGGGGAATGTTTATTTGGGGCATGTGACCTATTGAACTGCAGGTTTTATAATACTTTAATCGAAATTGTAGAAAAATGAAATGTTGTTAGTACATACAAAACAGAAAATGATGAATACTTTTAGTAAAAGATAATTTGGATCCGGGTTCTGTGTATTCACATCATTTGTACAACTCTCCTTACTGATGCCATTTTTTGGAATTTCTGTGACCTAAATGGTTCGCGAAAATTAATATTTTATTATATAGTATAGTAATAAGTAAACATATTCAACGACTTAACTTGAGGTATGCCAAATGTTCTCGAAAGTCAATACATTTATCGTTTGCTAATATGTTTGAAAAGCATTTTATATTTTCTTATTTGATAAAATTAATGGTTCAATCTAAGTGTTTCTATAAATTTGATGCAAAGCCTATTACATATAAATAGGTATAAAGTCATTTTTCCTGGTCATGATAACGGTCAGAATATAGGACAGAAAGTCACAGACAAAAAGCCAAGGACAAAAAGTCACATGTATTATATGTTATAAACATTGAGTTTTGTTTCAAAGTAAAATCTAATTTTTTTTTGTTAAAAGAAAGACAATATACTAATTTTGAGAAACATCTTTCTGTAATGGGCTTTCAGCATGTTCAGTGAAAATCAAATTATATGTACATGTATATAATTCTTTTAAAGTTACCCTTTCATCGTAAAGAGTAATCATAATTTATGGTCAATATTTTTTAATTTGCTGCTAAAAATCCATAAACTTAAGATAATTGTTATTTTCTTAAATTTCAATAATCCAATGCCTAATACTAATGTTAAGATAGTGCTACCATAGGCGGATCCAGGGGCCCTGAGGGCCCGTCCCCTCCTTATTTATTGGAAATATTTGGTTGATTACATATGGAATAAATGTAGCGGGCCATCACTTTAGGCAGTCAGTGGGACCCGTTATATGAAAATTGTCCAGATGGTATATTTCCCCCCTACTGCTCGTTTTAAGACCCGCAGCCACCATCTGACAGATTTTCCGCGGGTCCTCGTAGGAAAACGAATTTTTTGGAAAATTTCAAAAATTCCTCCCCGGCCAGAACGGCAAACAAGAAATGTGTCGGGTGGATAGCAGGGACCATCGGGTCAACGGCCGACAGTACCCGCCCTTGTTGGTTACGCCCTTTGTTTGCTAAAGAACCCTTGTGCTAATTCTTTTAGGGGCACCCAAGTTGACCTATTGAAATTTCTGTCCTTGTCCAATTGATCCCGATTTCCAGTGATATTTCAAATTGTCCGCCTTCATCCCAGCCTACCCATATTGCCGGATCTTTTTGAAATTGTCTATTTTTTTCAACTTCACCTCAAAAATGATCTTCAGGTTGATACTCATCATCCAATAGTACAATAACATTCAAAACGTATCGCTATACATGCTTTGCCATTTCAACATCGAGTTTAATAATGAATAAGAAAAATAAACAGCTCATAATATAGGTATTTTTTCCTTTATAGAAAGAAAGGTTAGATGGTCAATCATCATTTACTTTGAAGTGTATCAAATTATTACATTTAATTAATTTTGGGTCAGTAGACCGTACTGTGACCTATAATGGTTTACTTTTATAAATTTTGACTTGGATGGAGAGTTGTCTCATTGGCACTCATACCACATCTTCTTATATCTAGCACTGGACCAACAATGTTCCTATTAAATTTATTGATTTTGTTCTCTTCTGAAATATGCATGAGATATTTGACACTGGACACAAAGCAAACCATAACTAATCGATCATTTCATTTTTACAAAATATTACCCCCCCCCCCCCCCCCCCCCCCCCCCGATATTGATTATTTTCATTTGTGATAAGTATCTATTTCTGTGCCTCACACAAACAATTTTAAGCTTGGCCTTTCTTGAACTGTCAACTGAACAATGTTCTGATTGTATCTTCTTAATATTATGTATAAATAGTTAGGAGCTAGTAGCTAAAATTCCAATCTGTCAACACCAAGTGGCACTTTGATCTTTAATCTTCACTACAGCATTTGAATACTAGTTGATGGACTGACTTGTAAAAGCCATCATTCTTTGACACTGCATTAAATTGAAAACTTACAGAAGAGAGTTTTTGTATGAGAGATTTAGTCTATTTTCAAGCGTTTTCCAAGTTTATGCATATACATGTAATTTGTTGTTTCTATGGCAACACTATCACTAATAATGCCTGGAATATTATTAATATTTCTCAAATACAAGAAAACCTGGTTATGTAAGCAAAACTGTATACATTCATTGTTATATGTATCGAAGTTCATTAAAACGCATTTGTAAAAATTAGTACTTATCCGTATTTTTTCAAAATGAACTACTTGTTTCCATGGTAACACATTCAATGGCAAATATTGTACAATTGAATATGTAATTATTTACATGATTTTATTTGTTTTTTTTTCTAGATTGAGTAATTGTTTTTCTTGTATATTTTTCATGATCATGAAAACAGACTGACATTTCTTTATAATCAGCACTTTTATCCAGAATAGAGAAATTGTGTTTGTTTCCTTCAAGTGGTAACACCATTATCGAAATACTATACTAGCAAAATCATTTATATATACACATGTGTGTATACAGTGAAACTTAATAAGTGTTTTAGTTTTCCTAATTTTGTGCACATTTAAGAAACTAACTGAAACTTTTTTCAAAATTGTTTTAAACTTGTGTATCAAAATGAAATTGTTTCCATAGCAACACAATTAAAACTATAATACCGTTATATATGAATATGTTTAAAATTTTGATGATTACAATAATTTCTACATATTGTATATTTATTTATTTTTTTCTGACTGCAGAATTAGGTTTTAAA